TCGCTGGGTTGGTCTGGGTCTGAGACCTCCTCACTCCTCCCTCTCGGAATCAAGATGTGAAGATGCCTCAGGCGAAACGCACCAGACTCCCTCGCGCGCAGCATGTCGGAACCCAGAGTTCGAGGATGTCTCACCACCTCGCACACATCTTCTCAGAGCCCAAAGTTGCGAGGATGTCTTAGGCGAAACAGGTCAGACACCCTCTGGCGCGGCATCTCGAAGCCTAGAGTTGCGAGGATGACTCAGGCGAAACGGTCCGGACCATCTCGCGCGCAGCATCTCGGAGACCAGAGTTGCGAGAATGTCTCAGGCGAAACGCGCTGGAACACCTCGCGCGCGGCGTCTCGAAGCGCAGAGTTGCGAGGATGTCTCAGGCGAAACGCGCTGGACCACCTCGCGCGCGGCAGCTCGGAAGTCATAGTTGCAAGGATGTCTCAAGCGAAACGCGCCGGGCCACCTCTCGCGAGGCATCTCGGAGCCCAGATGTAGAAGGATGTCTCAGGCTGAGCGTGCCAGAACACCTGGCGCGCGGCATCTCGGAGCTCAGAGTTGTGAGGAAGCCTCTGGCGAAACGCGCCCAACCACCCCGCGCGCGGCAGCTCGGAGCGCAGAAATGGGAGGATGTTTCAGGCGAAACGATCCGTACCACCGTGCGCCCTCGCGCGCGGCACCTTGGAGCTCAGAGTTGCGAGGATGTCTCAGGCGAAAAACGCTGGACCACCTCTCGCGTGGAGTTGGAGCCCAGAGATGTGAAGATGTCTCAAGCGAAACGTGCTTGGACCACCTCGCGCGCAGGAGCCCAGAGATGCGAGGATGTCTCATGTGAACCTCGCGCGAAGCATCTCGGAACCCAGAGTTGCCAGGATGTCTTAGGCGAAACGCGCCCGACCAGTCCGCGCGCGGTATTTCAAAGCCAAGAATTGTAAGGATCTCACAAGCGAAACGCGCCAGGCCACCTCGCGCGAAACATCTGGGATCCCAGAGTTGCGAGGATGTCTCAGGCGAAACGCGCCGGACAACCTCGCGCAGAGCATCTCGGAGCTCACAAAGGCGAAGATGGCTCAAGCGAAACGCACTTGACCACCACGTTCGCGGCATCCCGGGTCTCAGATTTGCGAGGATGCCTCGGGCGAAACGCGCCGGACCACCTCGCGCCGCATCTCGGAGCCCAGATTTGCAAGGATGTCTCAGAGGAAACGCGCTGGACCACCCCACGAGTGGCAGCTCGGAGCGCAAATGTTGCGAGGATGTCTCGGGCGAAGCGCCCAATCCCGGCCAACCGAGAATCGAGAGTTGCAAGGGGGTCTCAAGCGATACGTCTCGGGCCACCAGTTTTTGTTGCGAAGGGAGGGAAAATTTTCCGACGGGAGGACCCCACACGAGATTCTGTTTAGCTTGACCTTATCTTTTTCCTCCTCGCCCTGACGGACACTCTCCTCTCGCCCGCCTTTCTGCCCTCACCTACTCCCCCTCCTTTTATTTATCCTCCTCCTTCTCCTTCTCCACTTCCTCCTCATCATCACCCCCTCCCTACCCCTTCCCCGTCCTCGTCCTTCCCCTGCTTCTTCTCCGCGCGCTCCTCCCCTTCCCCCTGGTCGGGGCAAGCAAATCGATGTTCGTCGGCGCCGTCGCCGCTGCGGCCAGAGCGCGCGCATTCCCCGACGGCTGGTTCGCGAAGCCTTTGGGACAACCCAGCGGGCCGCTGGGGCGCGGGGGCAGGCGGTCGGAACAGCCCCGCGGGCCAAGCCGTTGGGACAAACCCGCGGGCTTCGAGGGGGTCGCAGCCGCGTTCGGGCGGGGGGCAGCATGAACCCAAGTTCTGCGGCGAGCTGTTCGGCCTCATCCCTGAACGTTTCCGCTCTCTTGTCGAACTCCAGGAGCGCTTTCCGCAAGGAAGCCGGCGGCCCGCGCTCCAGAAACTCGCGCGAGGGCGGCCGCAGGATCAGCGGTTACCCCTGCGCCCGATTCGGCCGAGGATGGGTCACCACCGTCAGCCCGAAGACAAGGGGTTACCCCTGCTCCCGATTCGGCCGAGGATGGGTCACCACCCCCGGCCCGGACGCAAAGGGTTTCCCCCGTGTGCCCGATTCGGCCGACGATGGGTTACCACTGCCAGCCCGTAGACAAGGGGTTACCCCTGTCCCCGATTCGGCCGACGATGGTTCACCACCGCCAGCCCGGAGACAAGGGGTTATCCCTGCCCCCGATTCGGCCGACGATGGGTTACCACCGCCAGACTGGAGACAAGGGTTTTACCCTTGCCCCCGATTCGGTTGAGGATGGGTTACCACCTCCAGCCCGCACGCAATGGGTTACCCCTGCGCCCCATTCGGCCGCCGATGGGTTACCACCAGCGGCCCGGACACAAGGGGTTACCCCTGCCCCCGATTCGGCCGAGGATGGGTTACCGCCCCGGGCCCGGACACAAGGGGCTACCCCTGCGCCTGGCCGCTGTCTCGTCGTCATCGTCGTCGTCGTCAGCTCCTCAGTCGCCCTTTCGGGCACGCAGGCCCATGACAACAACAAATTGGCCGACGACCAGTTCAGACGAGTCTACCCGCACTTCGCTCACAGACGAAGCTCCCGCCTGATACTTCCCCCGCTTTCTGTCCGCAGGAGCTGAGGAGCCCTTCCCCCGTATTCACGCCGTAGGAGCTGACGAGCCCAACAAGTGACGAAGGTCACTGGAATCCGATGACCCGCTCGGATTACCAACATGAGGTGCGGGACCAGTCATGGCGGAGAGTCGCCGCGCAGGCCGCTGGAGGCTTAAGTTGTGGCCCGAAGTGACGACAGTCACACGTTTCGTCTCGGATGACCCGCTCGGATTGCCAACATGAAATGCGGGACCCATATGGAGGGGGCTTCCGCTTGAGTTTTCTTTACAATTCACTCACAGGCGAGGTTCCCGCTTGTTACTTCCCCCAACTTCAGGCTTGAGGAGCACAAGAGTGACGGCAGTAAACGCTTCGGATGACCCGCTCGGATCACGAGGCTCCCGCTTGATACCTCCCCCAATAGTGACGACAGTTATACGTTTCGGATGACCCGCTCGGATTACCAACATGAAGTGCGGGACCCATTGGAAGGGGGTTCCCGCTTGAGCATTTCTGACAATCCACTCACGGACGAGGCTCCCGCTTGATACTTCCCCCAAAGGCAAGCCTGAGGAGCCCCGAAGTGACGACAACTACACGTTTCGGATGACCCGCTCAGATTACCAACATGAAATGCGGGACCCATAGGAAGGGGGGGTCCCGCTTGAGACTTCTTCACAATTCACCCACAAACGAGGCTCCCGATTGATACTGTCTCCAAATTCAGGCCCGAGGAGCCCAAAAGTGAAGACACTTACACGTTTGTGACGACATATATACCTTTTCAGATGACCCGCTCGGATTACGAACATGAAGTGCGGGACGCATAGGGAGGGGGCTCCCGCCTGAGACTCCGTCGCAATGCACCCGGGGACAACGCTCCCGCTTGAGACTTCATCCATGTGCAAGCTAGGGGGTGAGTGATGACGAAGTGATCAGTGAGTGAGTGTGATGGTGAGTGAGTGAGCCAGTGTGTGAATGAGTGAGAAAGTGAGTGAGTGAGTGAGTGAGTGAGTGAGGTTGGCGACTGAGTGAGTGCGTGAGTGAGTGAGTGGTGATGCTGATGATGATGAGTATGATGAGTGAGTGAGTGAACGAGTGATGATGATGGTGACGATGATGAGGATGATGATGATGCGTGGTGATGCTGATTCATGATGATGATGATGGTGATGGTGGTGATGATGGTGCGTGTGTGAGTGTGTGAGTGTGTGAGTGAGGAACGGCGGGGTTGAGATCTTGCGCGGCGAGTGCAAAGATAACAAGAACCCCACTTTGGATGTGGGGAAAACACACAGACACAATGAATCGTCGATCCCGCAGAAAAATATTTGGAAATATGGGAAGTGGGGGGAAGACAAAAACAAGAACATCTTAGAAAATATTGAGATTCTGTTATTTGTGTCTATTTACTGATGTGTCCCAGGGCCCCATTCAGACTCGTCGCCCTTAGCCGAGCTGCCCTCGCATGTCCACCGGAAGTGGCGCTCCAGCGAGCGAGGGCGCGGCGCACGGTTCTTTCGCCGAGGCGCAGGAGAGAGCGACAGCGGCACCGGGGGCCCACCGAGAGCAGGCGAGATGCCCACCTCGCCCCAGCGTCGCGCATCTTGTCCGTGAGAGTGGCAGTGCTGTGCCAGCGCGGCGCACGAGTCGCTCTCGCTGCGCCCAGCGGAGTTTTGCCGCTGCCGCACGTGCTCGGCCCGCGCAGTCGTCTCTTCGCCAAATCGTCGACAACGGAGCCGCGCAAGAGCGCGCGTCCGATTGCGAGGGAGGAGCGCGTTCCAATTCCAAGATCGAGTTGTGATCAGTTGCGCGTCGTTGCTTTGTCAATGATGTGGGAGGGAGGTCGGGAGTAGGCGGGGCCTTCTGACTCGCTCGACCTGGCTCACTTGACACTGGCTCAACATGAGTGCTAGTATCCCCTGTCCCCCTGGCAGTTTGCCATAGTGCTCCCGCTTCCCTCGTATGTGCTTGTCAATGCATTCACACCAGATGTCATGGTCTGGCTGTTTCTTGCGTGTCTGTTTCAACATTCAAGTGCTTCTGTGTTTTGGGTCCATCAAGAATGGCGGTCCTGCTGCCGCGTCGGCAAGACTTCGGGATCGCTATTGGTGCTCCCGTTTTTCGAGATATCGTTAGTTCCAACGCTGTCAACACTTCTGGGCTCAAATCCTTCTTCGTCATTGTCGTCTCCCGCGCTTTCCCCTGCTCCTCCTCCTCCTCCTCCTCGTCCTCGTGGTCCTGCTCCTCCTCCTCCTCCTATTCTTCCTGCTCCTCCTCCTCCGTTTCCTCCTCATGCTCATCCGCCTCCACGCCCCCCGTAGACGCCGCCCTTGCAGGGTTCGGACTTCTCTACACACACTTACTCATATATTCAAACACAAACCCACTTACTAGTAACAGATGAGGCCCGTCTTTCCCGCGGCCCTCTTGCTCTCTTGGGCAGCTGGGGCCGAGTTGCAGCTCATGCAGATGACAGCGCGCAGCCCTGTGAAGAATAGCTCCGACTGGCAGCCGAGCAGACCATGCCGCACGCCTGTCGAGGGCGACGAGTGCCACTCGACAGTGATGTGGGCGATGCAGACGGGTATCGTGAAGAACCCGGACTGGTATGTCCCGTTGACGAGAAACTCCAGCTTCGAGGACTTCCAGCGGCTCACGCCTCGGCGGTCCGACGTGTGCCCCGAGCCCTGTGCAGCGCAGGCAGGGGGGCTCCCGCCGCCCGCAGGGCTGCCGGCGCCAGACGAGTGCCACACGTCCGTCAGAGGCGACGCCTGCTACGGGAAGGTGATGTGGGCGATGCAGACTGGCATCGTGGAGAGGCCAGACTGGTATCCTGGTCTGACCAGGAACTCAAGCTTTGAGGACTTCCAGCGGTTCCTGCACAGCGAGGCCAGGCTCTCCCGTGTGTGCCCCAGGCCTTGCGAGCAGGAGGAGTGCCGCACACCCGCCGAGGGGGATGCGTGCTACAAGGTCCTGGTATGGTCGATGCAGACGGGTGTCGTGGAGAATCCAGATTGGTTCGCCCCCCTGACGAAGAACTCCAGCTTCGAGGACTTCCAACGGCACACAGCGCGGGTGTCCGACGTGTGCCCTTCTCCCGCGTGTGCCCCGAGCCCTGCGCAGCGCCGGCGCAGGCGGAGTGCCGCACGTCCGTCCGAGGCGACGCGTGCTACGAGAAGGTGGTGTGGGCGATGCGGGTGGGCATCGTGGATGCGCCGGGGTGGTATGCTCCCCTGACCAGGAAGTCGAGCTTCGAGGACTTCCAGCGGTTCCTCCACGGCCAGCCCAGGCTCTCCCGCGTGTGCCTCGAGCCGTGCTCCGCACAGGAGGCCAGAGAACGGGCTCGACCGACTCCAGCCCCGCCTAACCACTTCGGGGTTGAGGTTATCGACGAGGAGAGCTTGCTGAAGTCCAGCTATCCTGGATACGAGCAGACGGGCCGCAACTGCCAGTGCGGCGATGCCCTTTATCAGTTCAATCAAGAGCACGAGAATCTAGCGCTATGTGCGGGCGAGTGCGACTTAGATGCGAATTGCCTTTCCATCGGCTTTCACCCCGCCGAGTCCTTGTGGGCAGGCACGTGCGTTCTGTTCCATGCAGCTTGCAACGATACGGATGGGCACGACAGCAACACGACTTGTGCCAGTCCGTCCGCACAGGGTGCTGTCAGCATCAATTTCAATAAGGTGCCCACGACTGCACCAACGCCTGCACCAACGCCTCCACCATGACGTCACGGACGGATCTTCTCCAAGCTCATTCTATCCATGTGCTTGCGGATCTGCCGTTTGCGAGGGCACCGAGCTTTGCTCCACGGGCTCGTGTGCGCCTCTGGAGGCTCTGACGGTGGCGTGGCCGTGCTCGTTCCCCGGGATCGGAAGCGGATATTTCAGCCTCTCTGGAGTGAGTGCAAGTGGAGCGCCAGTGTACAGAAACGCCGACGGCAGCTACCTCTATTGGGATGCCTCGTGCGACGGGACTGGGGACCACAACGGCAACCAGTGGATCATGGACAACGAGGCTCCGAGCACGACAGCGCTCATGCACCTGGACGGCGATGGGGACTGCGTCTACTTGGGGCACCACGACTCCTCGGCGTCCCACAGAGTCCCCCTGGGGAACTCCACGTGGGCAGTCCTGTGCGACGGCAACATCGCCGACGCGACGGTCGGCGTCGCCTACCACGCGGGACCGGCGCCGACCCCAGCCCCGACGCTGGAGCCCGGGGCTCCGTGTGCTTGCGGGTCCCCCTGCGGTGGATTCGCCTACGTGGACATCGACGGCGACGGCTGCATCGGCCTGGCAGAAGCTGCGAGCGTCGACGGGCTGGGTGCTGGCCTCGTGAAGATGGACACGAACGGGGATGGCTGCGTGAGCCAGGAGGAGTCGGAGGAGGGAAAGGTACCCATACCTCTACACCCTCGCCCGTTTTCCCCTTTGTGGGTCTCCTGGGAGGCCCTCGTTGCAACCGCTGGATTCGCTTCGAAATCCGAGTCATAACGCACCCCGGGAGAGGTCCGGGGGGTAGCGGTATCGGTACTTTTTGGTTCCCCCAAGGAGTGTGCGACCTCCGACAAGAGCTATCTCATACCGAGCTTCACAGCCCCGGGTACGGCGGAGTGCGATTACGGCTTCTACGTGCCGGAGGGGGCCAGCGTGTGCCAGATGTGCCCCACGGGGGAGACGAGGCGGCGCCGCTCGACGCACTGCACCGAGTGCCCCGCGGGCAAGCTGGACCTCGGCGACTTCGACAACTGCATCTCGGGGGCGTACCTTCTTGAGCCCCTCGAGCCAGGGAACACCGTCCTGGTCACCAACACGGACGTCGACGAGAGCGGGGCCCTGGTGATGGCGGGCAGCGTCGTCCAGGTGGCGACACGCAATCCTGGCTTCTACCAGAGGCTGACCATCAATGATGTCATCTCGGACACGCGCAACTTGAGCGCTCGCCTCTCCGCAGAGGAGCGAGCCGAGCTGGGCTCCGGGGCCGTCACCTTCAATGTGAGCCTCACTCCTTCGCAGTACACGTTCGCGATGTACGACCCCGTCATAAAGATTTGCAGCGGGACCGCCTCGACGGACTTCAGCGAGCATTACCCGTGCGGGTGTGGGTCCTCGATCTGCCAGTTCGGGGAGCGGTGCGATCTATCGTGCCACGGGGCCTATCCTACCAGCGACGTGCTGGCGGGGAGCGCCTACGGGCAGGGGGGCTGCTGCGTGGGCCCCGCTGCCGCCGTCCTGCCGACGCCGGCCCCGACGATCTCGGCCACGGGGGACCCGCACCTGGTCAACCTGCAGGGGGAGCACTTCGACGTGAACCAGGTGGGCGAGTTCACGCTGCTGAGGATCCCGGAGGACGCCGGCAGCCCTGCGGAGCTGGAGCTGAAGGCGACGGTCCTCCCCGAGCACGGGAAGCCGTGCACCACGTACATCACGGAGGTGGAGATCTCGGGCACCTGGCTGGGCGGCAAGGTCGTGCAGGTGCGCACAGGGCGAAGGCCCAGGGCGAGCCTGGCAGGTTCCTGGGCCTGCGGGTGGTGAGCCGCGGCGCGGAGGCCCCCTGGGAGAGGCTGGCGGACTGGCCGGACATGACCTACCTGCTCTCGGAGCCTCAGGCTGCGAGGGGCTTCATGGTTACCCTGGGCAAGACGCAGTGGCACAGCAAGAAGAGCGTCAACGGGGGCGAGCCGAGCGTCGCCGGGCAGGTCGAGGTCCGGGTGCAGAGGAGGCGGGCGGTTCAACGAGTCCGCAAGGCTCGTCATGCGCCAGGACCTGCCCATGCAGGAACACCTGAACCTGGCCGTGCGACACAGCGCGCTCGGCCGCCACGACGTTGGCGGCCTGCTAGGGTTCGACGCGCACCCTGAGTCCCTGAAGGCCGTCACGCCCGAGTGCCAGCGCCACAGGGACGGGCTCGACGAGAAGCGCGGCCCCCGCACAAGGCCAGCCTGGAAGACACGCTGGGAGAAAATCAAGGAGCAGCGCGGCCAGGCGCACGCTGCCGACGACGGCGCGCGCGACAACGAGGCGGCCGCCAGCCTCTTCACCAGGGCGATGATGTGCGTCTGCGCGACCGGGGACCGCTTCGACGGCCACGCCGAGGGCCGCTCCGACGGCGAGGAGGCCGAGGGCGTCGTTGCCGAGCTCCAGACCGCCAGGCTCGCCCAGGCGACGTGGGACTGACGGTGCACGCGGCGGCCCGCGGCGCGCGCCCGCGCCCGGCGATGCCCCCGCGGCTGGGCTCTCCCGGGCCCCCGAGGTGGATGGCAGATGGACGGGATCCTCGACTCAACCAGCCTGGTGGCACCCCTGCCTGAGGTGGCACTCTTGCCCGAGGTCGTGTCCAGCTCGGTGGCCGGCGGGCCCCCACGCATGGCGCCGCGCCTCTCGCGGCGCCTGAGTGGCGCTCCTGCCCCGAGCTTTGTATGTACATTTTTTTTGCCCCGTTTCCATGGGTTCAGCGCTGGCCATGAGGACGAGGGGGGGAGGGGTGATTGGGGGAATACGGCAGCGGGGGCGTGGGCGGAAGGAACCGAGCGGTGGCCGTGCGCGCTTGGCCGCCCAGCGGCCAAAGCCCACTGATCTTCTGTTAGACCCTGCGTTTTAGATTCGGCACCGCTCGTCCACTGGGTCATCTCGCGATTCGCGCAGCGCGAAGCACGAACATAATGTTGAGGCGGATGAAAGTATCTGCAACCATCCCAAGAGTACGCTTGCATCCTTGCTTCTTCGGCCCATCCTGAAGTTTCGACATGGGCGCCCAAGGGGCATGCACCCTGCAAGCAGTGGAGAAGCGTCCCGACTCGCCTGTGCGCCCACCAACTAAGGTCACGACAATACTTTGCGGTGTGCTCGAGATGCTCGGATTAATGATAGCACTTTTGGTTGAGGCAGTTTTGCTTTAATATATCGGCGTTCTGTTCGTAGAACCTTCTCGTGCCCCCAGACGTTTTCGTGGCAGGCCAACAGGAGTGCCCGGACGGTCTGCCCCTGCTCCGATCCCTGTCGCGCCCTCCGCCCTCGTCCTCCCGCCCCTCGCCCTCCCGCTCCCGATGGCGGCGCGGCGGCCGCAGCCGTCCTCCGCGGTCCGGCGGGGCCCTCGGGCTGCGCGGGGGCCCTGCGTCCTCGTCCTCGCCCCCGTGCCTCCCGAGCGCGCGCCCCTCCCGCCGCTCCTGGCCGTCGCTGCCCCTCTGGCCGCCCCAGACTTGGCGGCACGCAGAGGGGGGTAGGGGGAGGGGGGAAGGCGTCTTAGAAGCACCCCTGCTTCTTAGAAGGTGCGGGCCTTCTCTGTAGATGTAAGGCCGGCGCCTTCTGAGAAGCAGCCTCCTTCTAAGGAGCCTTCCCCCCTCCCCCTACCCCCTTCTGCTCGCCGCCAACAGACGACGCCAACCCTGGCCGACGTCCGCCCGCAGGTCCGGGCACCTGCCGGCCCTGGCGAGAGCCGAGGTCGGGGCGGCCCGTCCCCCTCTGACCCAGGGGCCCCCTCTCCCACGGTGCGGGTTTTTCGGCCCCTGGCTGGCGCCTCTCCACCGCCCCTCGTCTGGTTGGGCCTGGGCGGGGGGCTGCACCCTTCCGGTGCCCCTGTTCGAGGCCCCGCTGGGCCTCCGAAGTCGGCCCCCTCTCCCGTTCCCTTGGGTTCGGTCGGGGCTCCCGATCCGAACCTCCTCCCCTGCCCCTGGACGTTCTCGTCTTGGCCGACGGAGGGCCCCATGTTCCTGAGGGATGCTCGTCTGGCCCGGGCCCGACGGTGACACACGCCCTGCCCTTGGAGGTTCGTTTTGGTTTGGCCGGCGGAGGGCCTCATGTTCTCGAGGGGTGTTCTTCTGGCCCGGTGCCGACGGCAATACACGCGGCCCCCCGGGACGTTCGGGGGCGGCAAAGAGGGGGGGGATGACTTAAGGGGGTGGGGATATCATGGCGTGGGCCATGATATTTCCTCAGCTTTTGAATTCACGGCGTCTCTTCGTATCTCATTACGTCCCTGCCCCCCCCCCCCCCCTGGGCCGCGCACGTGCCGCTGGCCATGATCTGCGCCCCCCCCTCCTGGACGCCCCCTCTTGGCCGCCCCCGAGGCGTGCTCTTCGCAGCCTGGGCGCCGGCCCTTGGCACGCAGCTGCCTCTGCCCTCTCCTCCAGCGCCGGAGAACCTCGGCCCTGCCGCGCGCTCCGCAGGACTGGGTCAGCACGGTGGCGGGGAACGGCGGCGAGGCGGCAGGCCGCGGCCAGCAGCCGCCGCCGCCGAGGAGGAAGAGGAGGAGGAGGAGGAGAGGCAGGAGGAGGAGGAGGAGGAGGAGGAGGAGGAGGAGGAGGAGGAGAAGGATAGGAGGAGGAGGAGGAGGAGGAGGAGGAGGAGGAGGCGGAGGCGGAGGCGGAGGCGGAGGAGGCGGAGGCGGAGGCGGAGGCGGAGGCGGAGGAGCAGCAGGAGGGGGCGCGGCCCCGTCCTCGCTCTTCCTCGACCCCTCCGGCCCCGTGCGGCTCCGAGTCCGCTGCCAGCTCGAGGCGGCTTCGGGTTCCGAGCTGGAGCTCCCGTTTTTTTTGGGGGGGGGGGCGGGCTCCTCTCGACCCCTCGGCCCGATGCGGCTCCGGGTCCGCTGAGGGCTCGAGTCGGCTTCGGGTTCCGAGTTGGAGCTCTCGAGTTCTGGGGGGCGGCTCCAGCCGACTCCTGCGACCCGGCTCGGTACCGATTCCGCTGCCGCTTCCAGTCGGCGTCGGGTTCCGAGCTGCAGCTCTCGTGTTCGTCAGTGGGGGCCTGGCCTGCCTGCCGGTCTCCGGCGCCTCGACCCCTCCCCACTCGGCTGCCGGTTTTTCCGCCGATCCGATTCATGCCGATGGGTCCTGAGAAGGCGAAAACCCACCCCCACCCCCAGTCCCGACCCCATTTTCGAACCCTCGATCTGGGGGGTCGGGACTGGGGGTGATGGTGGGTTTTTGGGGTCCAGGAATAAAGAAAACCCACCCCCACCCCCAGTCCCGACCCCCCAGATCGAGGGTTCGGAAATGGGGTCGGGACTGGGGGTGGGGGTGGGTTTTCGCCTTCTCAGGTCCGGCTCGTCGATGCGGTCCTGGGCCCTCCTGGAAGGGGGGGAGGGCCCCGCGCGCGGCCGCCCCAGCTCGGGGGCGCAGCGCTGGGGGGCGGCGTCGGAGGCCTGGAGGCCTGGACACTTGGAGATTGAGGCGACGACGCCAATGACGACGAGGACGACGACGACGACGACGACGACGACGACGACGACGACGACGACGACGACGACGACGACCGACGACGACGACGACGACGACGACGACGACGACGACGGCGGCGGCGGCGGCGGCGGCGGCGGCGGCGGCGGGGGCGGCGGCGGCGGCGGCTGCGGTGGCGGCGGCGGCGGCGGCGGACGACGACTACGACGACTCCCCAAGCGATTCATTTTGTCGGGCCTGGCGAAAGCCGATCATCAGGCTTAGCTGAACCGTCCCACTCAGGGGCAGCGGTAGGGTTGGAAGGGTGCGAGTGAAGACCACGTTCGTTGGCCTTCGGGGGCACCCCTCGCCGCCACGGCTGGACGCGGCTCGGAAAGCGAGTGCGTTTGGCCCCAGGGAGGGGCTGATTCTGAGCTGCTGTTGTCTCAACTTGCCCTGCTCCGATCTGCAGAGGAGCAGGGGGTCATCAAAATAATATATTCCAATATTTCCCCAGATCTCTGTGTTCCCCACATTTCCTGATGTTTCGCACCGGCTGCACCGCTAGATGCTTTTTGGAAATCCTGAAACGCATCATGAACCTATCTTATCATGACATGATTCTCGCCCCAGATATGTGGGATCGGCTCTTCAGGAGGTGGGCTCAGGGGGGAGGCGTTTAAAGTTTCGGGCGCAGTCGTCGGTTATCGGCAGTTGCCTTCACCGAGCCCTCGACCGTGTTTCTCCACACCTTCCATGTAGAAGGTGTGGACGGCAAGCGTGCAAAGTCATGTCTCATATGTCGCGATAATGAGTGCGTATGGGCTGGCACAGCGTAGCATAGCATATACCGTATACACCACGACGCACCCGCACGCACACCCCCGAGTACACACCGATACCGATGCACCATCGCACAGCAACCCGCACACGATCCCGAACATTACGCACACATGTTCAAGTGCAGTGTGTGTGTGTGTGTGTGCATACAATCGTGTGCAAGCTAGGCAAACGCTCCGTGGTAGCCACATAACTCACATTCATGTTAGCGCAACGCATCGTCATGTGCAGGTGCATGGGTATAAGTCCTGGCCGCGAATCATCAACATCGCACTCCATGGTATCACCTGCCGTGCAAGCCAGCGCGCGTCCGTTCAACCTTTTGTGTAAGCCAACATCCGATATGAATCACAGTAGCTGTGTTGTTTGCGTGTGGTTCTGCAAGGTTGTACGTTTATGGGCATACTGTGCTCCATCTGTCAGTGTTGCGCATGATGTCACGAACACAAGCGAGCACTAAGCTTAGGGCACATGTGAGCAGTATTTTTGGGGGGGCGGAACGAAGGTTCCGAACATTAGCATCCGCGTGTTCCGAGTCCCGATCTCTCAGCTTTGGCAAGAGTGGACGTCCCGCAAAGACATGTCCCCGACCAAGACGGCAAGCCTCCACCTCGCTCGCAGCGTGAGGACGCTCGCGCCTGCTCGAGCACGGGGCAGCAGCACAGCCGGCAGCTCAGCAGCACAGCCGGCAGCTTCTGCCCCGCCGAGAGGCTTCTGGGGGTGCCCGGAGCGCCACGAGCGGCCGCCGAAGAGCCGGGTCGTGCCCAGAGTCCGGGGGGCGACGATCCAGACAGGGGGGATCGGCCCAGGCGGGGGCTGCGTCGAGCTCATTCGCCTTCCGATCGCCTCCTCCTCCTAAATATTTGCCCCAGGATCTGTTGCGTGGCGCGTCGCGGCGGCGGCCCTGGCTCCGGCGATCGCCAACATGGATCGAGGGGGCGTGGATGAGCGACGGGTGCCGTTCCGAGTTCAGCCGGATGTCGCGGAATTGGAAGTCGTGGATTTCAGCCGCCGAACGAGCCGGCAGCAGCCGCATTTTGGGGAGGGCACCTTCTCTTGATCCATGAATCTGGCGACCGCGCACCAAATCCATGGATCGCTGATCCATGTTTGCGCGCCCCGATTTACCCAGCCCACTCCTCCCAGGAGCGCGCAGACACGCCATCGCGGGCCTGCCTTGCTGATCTGTCGGCGATGCGTCGCCGATGCAAGCCTGAAGATTTGCCCCAGGAACTGTTGCGTGGCGTGTCGCGGCGGCGGCCCTGGCGGCACGGTATGCCCTTCCAGCAGATAGCGCGTCGCTCCGCTCCGCGGGTCGGGAGGCTTCGGACAATTCGGGACGTTGACGCTTGGGGACTGGGACGTGGATAGCGTGCCGCGCCGAAGCTGACCGCAGGCCCTAGGAAGCGGCACACGGATGGGCCAGACAGGCACGGCTGCAGGTTGGTCCCATGAAGTATTCCTCGGGGGCAGGAGGAGTGAGAGAAAGGAGGAGGAGGAGGAGGAGGAGGCGAAAGGGAACGAGAAAGGAAGGATGACGAGGGAGGGATCGGAGGAGGAGGATGAGGAGGAGGAGGAGGAGGTGCAGGCCTAGAGGTTGACACCAGCATCAAGATCTGCGGTGTGCCTCCACCGAGGGAAGACGATCCCGATCTCGATGATGTTGGTCATTTTCGGGCATGCCAGGTGGACGGGGTATTATCACCAACACCAGAATCTAGGATCGTCTTCCCCTGATAGAGACACACCCCTGTGTTGGTGTTGATGCCCAGTGCCAAGTCCCCAAGGAGGAGAAGGAGGAGGAGGAGGAGGAAAAGAAGGAGAAGGAGGAGGAGGAGGAGGGGAAAGGAGGAAGAGGATGAGGAGGAGGAGGAGGAGGGTCTTGTTTTTTTCTGCAAGACGCTGCGCTCCGCGGGCTCGGGAGGGACTCAGGAGACAAGTGTTGGGCTCAGCATCGTCTTTGCTTGGATGTGGCTAAACATGTTGTGGCTCTTCCATGGCTCGCACGCAGGACGAAGGAGTTAATTCTGCGGCCTGCAGCGGCTTCTGGGCGGGAGCCAATGCCGTTGCTGCTGGTTGTCTCTCGGTCTCGCCTGTCTACCCGCTCTGTGATGCTGAACATAACGCTGTAGCATAGATTATGGCGATGTCAACGCCCACGCATAAGAGCAGCCAGAGGGGGGATTGCTCCCGAATGGCTTCGAGAGGCAGCGTCGTGCCCAGAGGCTGATGGTCTCGACGGGCTCCGACAGGAGTGGAGTGGGGAGGAAGCGGAGGAGGAGGAGGAGGAGGAGCAGGAGCAGGAGGAGCAGGAGGAGGAGGAGGAGGAGAAGGAGGAGGAGGACGAGGACGGGGAGGAGCAGGAGCAGCAGGAGGAGGAGGAGGAGGAGGAGGAGGAGGAGCAGGCGGAGAAGGAGGAGGAGGAGGCGCAGCAGGAGGAGCAGGAGGAGGAGCAGGAGGAGGGGGTGAGGGATAAGCTCCCCCACGTGGTTGTGGGCCTCCGCGGGGCCTCGGCCGAGGCATGCACCACAGCCGCGGCAACACGCTGCCCCTCGTCGGGCGCCCGTGGGGCTTCAACCACTGGGCGCGCGCCACGCCCCACCTCCCTCCTCCTCCTCCTCCTCCTCCTCATCCTCCTCCCTCCTCCTCCCTCCCTCCTCCTCCCCCTCTCCTCCTCCTCCTCCTCTCTCCTCCTCTCCCTCCTCCTCCTCCTCCTCCTCCTCCTCATCCTCCTCCTCCCTCCTCCTCCTCCTCCCTCCTCCTCCCTCTCCTCCTCCCCCTCCTCTCTCACCCGTCTCCTCCTCCTCCTCCTCCTCCTCCTCCTCCTCACTTTCCCCCCATTGGGGCTCCTCTCGTCCGCCTCATCGCTTTTCGTTCAGAGGCGGAAAACTCTGACCCTCCAGGAGGGCCCAAAAATTGCACCGTCACGCCGAGGTCCACAAAGTCCCGTCGAGGTTTCAGGCAGTCCGGACGGGTCATATATAGGTCTGGAGCGTTGGCTTTCAGCATTCTGGAAGGTCAGAGAGGGGACCCATACCGCTACCCTTCCCTCTCCTCCCCATGTTTCGGCCTCCAGGGAGGCCCTCGTCGCCACCGGTGGATTCGCCTCGAAATTTTGGTCAGAGCGCACTCAGGAAGAGGCCTGGGAGTAGCTGTACAGGAACCCTTCGGTTCCCCGTTCCCCCAAGCGCTGATCGGCGTGCATTCGCGTTGCTTGCGACTGGGCCGCAATCTGGCTGGCTGGCTGGCTTTGGTTCTGAACCGATGATTCTGGCGGTCATCGGGCTTCTATGATATCCGATTGCATTCGCGCGTGCGTGGCCCTGCGAGCTGTGCGCAGCACTTGCCTCGAGACATGATGCCTCCCCCCCCCCCTCTTCGTCCACCCCCCTCTTTGCCGCTCCCGAACTCCCCTTGGCCTCGCTCTCCTCCCCCCTCCTGGAGGGGAGCAGCAGTGTCAGACTGCACGGCCGGGGGCTCTGGCTCAAAGCGTGCCGCTCCGCTTCGGCTTCCTGGCCCACCGCGCTCCGGCGCGGCCCGCGACCCCCTCTCCGGGTCCCCGCTCGTCGACGTCCCGAGCTCCCCCCGGCCTCCCGCCCTCGCGGAGCGGCACGCTGTCACCGCTGTCCTCTCGCGAGGCTTAGCGTGCCGCCAGGGCTGCCGCCGCGCCGCGCCGAGCGGAAGCTCTTGACTGTGGGCATACATCGGAAGCTGGAGCATATGCGTTACCAGTGGCGGGCTGTTTTGCAATCCCAGGATTTTGTGAGGCTCGGGGGCGACGTCGGGGTCGGTGTGGTGTATACTTGTTTCCCCGTTTTGTGTACACCAGGATCCCGTATACACCAGGATCCGCGTTCCTGTGCGAATTTCAACGCAGGGTCGGAAAAAGCGTCGGTGTATAGAGTTCGGTTCCCTAATGAATTTTCGGAGCTCCGTGCGGATGTCATGGATCGGTGCTGGTTCCCCCTGGTCCAGCGTCGATCCAAGAAATCCGCGCGTACCTCCGAGTCAAGCATTTATGCCGCTCTTCGTCTTCTTCTTCACTCATCCTTCCCCTTCTGCCCATCCTCTTGCGGTAGGTTCGCGTCATGTGGTTTGGCGGCGATCCCGCCGCCGACGTTCAACGTTGAACGCTGCTGGCGACCCAGAGTCGGTCGATGCTGAACGATCTGACGTTCCGGACACGGCCGATCGTTCAAGGTTGAGCGATCCCTGCGGTGCCAGAAGCCGTCACCGAAGTCGGCACGACCCTAAATTGCCGTACTCCTCGGTACCCTCCTCCTGATCCTGGCCCTCGCCGTCCTCGTGCTCCTGCTCCTGCCGGGATCCAGGAGGGAATCTGGGGTTCGACGAGGAGGGTGGAAGAGGAGGAGGGCCAGGGCCCTTCGGCGCGCCTATATTCGCTGCGGCGTCGTGCTTTGCTTTCGCTCGTGGACCCTTGGAGGTCTGGACCCCATCCCCGAGACCAGCTTGTCACCCGAATCAGGAGGTACCGACAAAGCACAGACACACGTGTGGAGAATGTGGAAAGTGGAGGGGAAGACGAACATCTAGAAACTATTAAAACAATCGGGAATCTTGAGATTGGCGTCTATTAGGAAGGTCTTACGGCTGGTGCCGCCGACCGGGGAACGACGACGACGACGACGACGGCGGCTGTGGCGGCGGCGACGACGGCGGCGGCGACGACAACGGCGGCGGTGGCGGCGGCGATGACGCTGACGTGGGGCAGAGTCCTCAGGCATGCCTCGTGGGGCCTCTTCTGGGCGCGCTCGTAGGCCTATGCAGAACAGTTATGGGGCCTTTTCGGATTATTTTAGGGGCATCTCGGGAGCCATTTGGGGGTCTCTTCGGGCTTCCTGGGGGCCTCTTGGGGCCTCGTGGGGGCCTGTTGGGGGCCTCTTGGGGCCTCCTTGGAGCTTGTCGGGTCCGAGGGCTCGAAATGTTCGCTCGGGGTCCCGTGTGGGCACTCTCTTGGAGCCTACCCCCCTTGTCCCCCCCCCTCCCCCTTCCTCTTGTCAGGGAAGGGAAAAGGGGAAGCGAATCGACTTCAGTAGCACGTTTCGTTTCCCTGCTAGTTCCTCAATTTTGTTGGGACTGGCGACGACGACGACGACGACGACAACGAAGACGACGACGACGACGAAGGTGACGGCAGCGTCTCACACGCCGAAGGGTCGGCGGAGTCATTTGTGGTGTCCCTGGGCCTGCGAGACAAACGAGGCCCAGCGTCCCGAAGAAGGCCAGGGTGTCACCGCCCACCAAACCACCCCAACCCAACCCGAAGGCTCAGATTTCCCCTCGATTTCCAGTGGGGGGGGGGTCGGGAAACATCGAACAACACATGTGGAACCCTTACCCCCCCCCCACCCGAAAGGTTGGGTTGGGGTGGTCTGGTAGGTAGTCAGGGTGCACGTGCCCGTTGCCTCCGATCGCCGATCCCCCCCCCCGCCGTCCAAACGGAGGAAGCGAGGAGGAGGAGGAGGAGGAGGAGGAGGAGGAGGAGGAGAAGGGAGGAGAGAGGAGGAGGAGGAGGAGGAGGAGGAGGAGGAGGAGGAGGAAGCGAGGAGGAGGAGGAGGAGGAGGAGGAGGAGATCTCAGCGCCCAGCCCCCATCTCTTCACCTTTTTTGGGGGATCCTCTCGTCCTGCCCAGCGCCTCGATGTGCTAGTGCCCTGCCCGTCAAAAGACGCCCCCGGGCCCCTTCAAAAACGTTCGCTCGCGGTCGCTCGTGGCCCTCGCTGGGCCTCTGGAGGCCTCCGGGGGGACCCTGCAATGCCGGAGGCCTCCGCGGGGCCTCCGGGGCACAGGTCCTCTGCACGCGGGAGGCCTTCGGGAGGCCTCCAGGGGGCCCTCGCATGCCAGAGGCCCTCGGGATGGTTCCCAACCGGTGCGGAGCAATCCTCGGGTTCCTCGAAGCGTGCCGAGGCCATCGGGCGAGCTCCACGTGCGTCGTCGGCTGGGGGCTTGTGGGGGCTGGGGGAGCTTTCGGGAGGGGGCGGAGGAGGAGAGGGAGGAGGGTGAGAGAGGCGGAGCAGGAGTCATGATGGTTTTGGTGCTCCTGACGACGATGCGCATCAGTTTCGAGATAGTCAGCATCACCATGATCATCATGCTACGTATCAACATCATCAGTATCCCCAGTATCATCATTCATACCATCATCATCATGTTCATCATCACTCGGGCGACGCCCATGTGTCCTGCATGCCCCCCCCCTCCCCCCCGGAATGCAAAGCTGAATCCAGGCCCCTCGTCGCCACTCGCCCCGGTCAGCTTTGCTTCTCGGGGTGGGGTGGGGGCGGCGCGGGCTTCTCGGGGGGGGGCGGGGGGAGGCGGCGCGCGCTTGTGGTGGGCTGCCTCCTCGGACTGCCGCCTCGTGCCTAATGCCCGCCGTCGGTAGAGGGGGGGGGATTCGGCTCTCGGTCATCCCTGTGCTGAATGTCGTCGTTCCTCTCACCACCTTGCTTCTCTTCGGGGTGCATTCCATTGCGAGGTGTGTGGGAGGCGCTGCACTGAGGCCCCTCGCGACCTCAAGAATGCTTGCGAACCTCCCATGGAAGCTGGGAAGGAGGCTACGTCTCGGCTGAAGCGTGGCCCCCCACCTAAATCTGGCGGCAACTTCCCTGAGGCATAGTTTTTGCGTTCCAGCGTGTCTGGCCCAGCAGCAGGCGCACGCGCCAGATGATAAAACATATCTTGCTTGGAAACATGTTTGTGACTTCGAAGGCCATCAGCAAACGACAGTGCTACAAGGCATACGTCCTCTGTTTGCTTTAGCTGTTGGGAGGCGGTTTGCCCTCGGGGTCGCCTCGAGGCTCCCCGCGGCCACTTGTGGCGGCATTGCAGTGCTCGCGTGGCCTCTTGGAGGCATGTGGGTGGACAGAATGCGCCATATTGACTTGTGTGTAGCCATCTTTGAAAAATTCTGGCGCAACGGCCTCGCTGGGATGCCCCCCGACATGTCCAAATCCGTGAAAACTGACGCGCGCTTGGTTGCGTCGACGAGTTTGGCTTTGGGCGAAGGGAGCGGCGCCAACGAGGGCCCCCTCTCTGGTGCCCGATCATTTGCCCCCCGGACCATCTTAGGGCGCTTTTCGGGTGCCTTTGGGCTCTCTTGGCTCCGTCTTGCTGGCCTCATGGGCCCCTCTTAGACTTGATGGGCCCCTCGTAGGGCTCCCGCAGGCCTGGCTGGCCTGTTCCCAGGGCTCTCTTGATGCCTCGGGGGGCCCAACGGCTTCGACGAGGCGATCAGGCAACCATCGTCGGCTCCCCGCTGGTTATTGGAAGGAGTCTGGCCCCCTGGGGGCATCCTTGGGAGGCACCGTGACAGTTGGGAGCCCATCGGGGAGGTATGCGGGGCTCTTGGAGGCACGTCGGTCGGATGTTATCTTAAACATGTTTGCGCTGGTTTGCGCGATATTTGGAGGCCACGCTGGGATACCCACAGCTGCGTCGAAACTATCTTGGGCGCTCTGACCGCTCAGCCCCGCCCCCCTCCAGATCCTGGGAGCAAGGGGGTATGGGGGAGGGTTAAAGCTGCGCGCGAGCCGCAGGCCCTGTTGTTCACGCCCACCAGCCCTCCCAACACAGAAGTGGCACTCGAGTCTCAGCATGTGTTCTGCGGTCGCCACATGGACAGCCAGCCACCGGGACCAACACAGACGACAGGTCAGGTCAGGTGTGCGACGCTGGCGAAGTGCGCCGCGTATGCCATTGGCGCCACGCGCGCCAGGTGAGCCAGGGGCCCCAGGGCAGGGACCTATGCGTGCAAGGCATGCCTGGTGCGCCAGGTGCGCCAGGGCACGTGACACAACATATCGGGGAACATGTCGCCCCCCACCACCACTCCTGGAACACACCGATGCGAAATTGCGATGGGGTGGCCGTCAGGGTGTACGGTATGTGCGCCTACACTCATGTTGCATTTGTTTGTGGTACGATGGTGCTCTCGCGCGCACCAGACTATATGAGGCCCCCCCGACCCCCACCATCCCTGACAATGACAATACAGTGATTGTGGGGCGCCCGCGTGCGGTTCAAGATTTTGTCGCAAAGTATAGTTTGTATTGTTTTCTGTTGACAGGGATGTTGGGGGGGTGCTGGCATTGTCCCTTGTCGCCGGGCGGGTGGTGGAGGGGCGTTTTTATTGTTACAAGAAGCGCAGGTGAAGTCCTCCCCGAAAAGGGACGAAACGGAGGATGTAACAAGAACCGCGCTGAACCACTTCAGGCCGAAGGGTTGGTGGTCATGTTCCCGCTGCCGCTGACAGGCTCCTCAGCGCCACTGCTTGGGTGGTGATGACCGTGGAGCCACAACAACCCTCATCCTCCCTTCACCTTCCTCATGATCCACCTACTTGCATCGTTCACTATTCATCCTCATGCATCGTTGCTTTCTCCTCCTCCCCTCTCCGCCCTCCCTGATACATCCTCTTCGGCGTCGTTGTCTTCTGCTGCCTCCCGCCTCTTTGTCGTCTACGCTATCGTCGTCTTCCCTCCTCACCGCCCTTTACCCCCTTCCTCATTGTTCCTCCTTCTCCTCCTATTTCCTCCTTCTTCCATGTCCTGTTTCCTCCTCCCCGCGCACGTCCTGGGGAAACCAAAAGGTACCGATGCCGCTGCCCACTGGTCCTCTCCTGGGGTGCGTTCTGCAGGCAAAAATTTGAGGATACTCTAGCCGTGGCGACGAGGGCTCTCCAGTACGAGCAGCGGTCTGGGTATCTTTGCCTCTGACATCCTCTCCCCCCCCCCGCCCATCCCCTCTGCCCGCCTTGCGACCGGCGACCCCCGACGCCGACGGCGACGGCGACGACGACACGGACGACAGGCGCCACAGTCCGTGGGCGAGCCCACGAGCTGGTGGCTCGACGCCGACTCGGACACCTTCCGAGGCGCGGCCCGCGTGTTGCGGCCGTCCGCCCCGCCGCCGTCAGCACCGCCGGCGTCGGCACCTCCCAGGGCTGCCAGCTCCACCTGGCAGTCGCTCTGGCGTGCGTCGGGGGCCTGACTGCCGCTGTGCTGGCTGCCGGGCTGTCCAGATCACACCACTGGCTGCCAGCGGTTTGCCCGTGCCCTCTTCGAGGAGGAGGAGGAGGAGGAGGAGGAGAAGGAGGAGGAGGAGGAGACTGAGGAGGAGGAGGAGGACGAGGAGGAGGAAGAGGAGGAGGAGGAGGAGGCTGAGGAGGAGGAGGAGGAGGCTGAGGAGGAGGAGGAGGAGAGGAGGAGGAGGGGGAGGGGAGGAAGAGGGGGAGGAGGAGGACGGGAGGAGGAGGAGGAGGAGGAGGAGAGGGGAGGAGGAGGGGAGGAGGAGGAGGAGGAGGGAGGAGGAGAGGAGGAGGAGGAGGAGGGGAGGAGGAGGATGAGGAGGAGGAGGAGGAGGAGGAGGAGGAGGGGGAGGAGGAGGAGGAGGGGGAAAAGCAAGACCGTCCATCCCTCCGCGGTTGATAAACCACGGCCGAAGCCGTGGACGCCGCCGCCGCAGGCGGCTCCGAGGCTCGCCGTGGTCTTCGACGCCTCCGCCGTGGCAGGCCCTGGCCGTGCACGAGTGGCGGCTTCGGCCGGGGCGCGCCCTCCTGGGCTGTGCACCATGGGGCCCGCGAGCCGCCATGGGGGCCAGCCCAGCACGGATCGGGTCGGGAGCCTTGAGGCGGGGGTCAATGCAAACGAGCGTTTGGGCTTTTCGGTGTTCGAGTTTCGAGGTTTTCGGGCGGTTCGTTGGTTTCGGTGTTCGAGTTTCGAGGTTCGGGAGGTTCGAATCGGGGCCGAAGAGACCGGGGTCAATGCGAACGGGGGTCAGCCAGAGCGCCCGATCTTGCAGGATCCTGCAGGGCCAGGGTCGCACTGACCCGGGCTTGGGTGCAGGATCCGGCAGGATTTTGCAGGATCCTCCGCATTGACCCGGGTTCGGTTGCAGGATCTTGCAGGATTCTGCAAGGCCTGACTGACCCGTGTCTGGGTTGACCCGGGTCAGCAGGTCCCCGATCGGGGACGAGCCGAGCAGCCCCGGGCAAGGGGGCGGGAGCTCTGGCCTTGTGTCGGGCGTGTCCCCCTGCAGGGGGATTTTCGACGAAAAATAGACGATACCCCAAGAATACCCCAAGAAGGTCAAAACATATTCAAAAAATAGTCCCCAGACTATTTTTGGATTATTTTGTTTAACTATATTTGTTTTTTTTATTTTTCGTTGAAAATCTCCCTGTAAGGGGACAGGCCCGACTTAACTCTGGTTGGGAGCCTCGAGACGGGGGTCAATGCAAACGGGGGTCAGCAAGGGCACCGGATCCTGCAGGATCCTGCGAAGACCCCCTCTGGCTGACCCGGGTCAGCGAGCCGCTCGTGGCCGCGAGGAGGCAGCGCATGTTGGCTGACCCGGGTTTGCGAAGACCTGCGTTGCAGTTGTTTTGTTCTTGCATTTCATTGTTTTGTGTTTCCTGTTTACCCAGGTCTGGATTGACCCGGATCAGAAGATCCACGAGCTGGGGCCCGGCATGGAAATAAAGGAGATCGATCGATGCGGACGTGAGGGGAAGTCGCCGCCGTCGCCGTCGTGCCCAGCGCAATGGCATCTGCAGTCATACTCAAAATATTTCAAACACACACAAGAGGAAACACAATATTGTTCCAAGCGTGAGCCCCACGGGCTGAGTTCGGGCATTCTGACTGTGCAAGCTACTTGCCAGGTGGCCTTCGGCCCATCCCGCCACCGTGCCTGGGCGTGGGGCCAGGATTGTCTTGTATGCATGCTGGGGGTTCTTGGGATGCCTCTGAGTGGGCCTCCTGGAGCCTCTTGGGGCCCCATTGGCGCTACTTGGTGACCTCTTGGGCGTTTCCTGGGGGCCTTGTGGCCCCTTAATTAAGCCTCATGGTGTGGACGTTTCTGGGGAGAGTAGTTCGAATTTCTCCGTCCTCCCGCGGATTCGCCCCGGATTCTTCGACTTGTTGGGTTTCCATTGGCAGAGCGGTGTTCTGCTAACGCGCGCCATGGAAGCGGACACATCGAGTGGGCGTGGTTTGCGAATTGGAAGGACGTCCTTCTGCGGATTAGAGTCTTGAAAGTCGTTGATCGGGGCACCACCAAGTACAGTAGCCAATACGGGTAGTTCGTACTGACATGGCCACATGTCATGTCGTGACTCGAGGCAACCTGGCGGATGACGGGAAGCGTCTTCTCAGAACGAGAAGGTAATGGAGCTTGTCACAGAAAGTTGAGTAAGGAATTGATTCCGAAGACGCGAGGGGGATAGTGGCTCGCCGCTGCAAAATGTAATTCGTTTGGTGGGTGCTCCTGAAAATGGCAACTTAGTTTGATACATCATCTAACAATTGAGAATGTTAGCTAACGTGGGCCCCAAACAGGGTGCGTCTAGCAGTTAATGTTGTGCAGTATATGTGGGCCACGCTCTATGATGTACCCGACGTGGTGCAGCTTATGGTGTGCGATCTACGTTGTGCAATCCATATTGTACAGTGCGGTTTAGGTTGTGCAACCTACGTGGTGCGATCTATATGGTGTCTGATATATGTTGTGCTCAATGTATGTTGTGCAATTGACGTGGTGCAATCGATGCGGCCCAACAGCTTGCAATCCATGTTGTGCAAGGTATTTGGTGCACACCGTGTGGAGGCATATAGTTGATGCTATATAAGTTGCGCGATCCCTTTGTGCAGATGTGGAACAATACGTAATTCGCAGCTGATGCGTTGCACTGTGTGGTGCAACCTACATGGTGCGTAGTGGATGTGGTCCAGCCCTCTGTTGTGCAACAAGTGCTTTGCAATCTGTGTGGTGCGCAGCATATGTGGTGCATTCGATGTGGTGCCTAACGTTGGCGGTGTGCACTATCTGTTGACCTGTCGACGCGGTGCATCCTATGTTGTGCAATCCACCAATGCTCAACTTGAAGTTGTCCACCCCACTGCTCGCGCAAACATCCCTCCCGCCCACCCGCAACTTGGTTTGCAAACCCCATGCGGAAGCGATTGCGATGAGTGTTGGGTGTTGGCTTTTGCATATCTGCGGCCGCGCTAGCCCGCGCATGCTTGCGCGCGCAGCGGCCAGGTAGTTTGGCGCGACCGACGCGAACGCGGTGGCGCCGACCGCTCGGCACATCCCAGCGGGCACTTCACTGTGAGTCGGCGGCTTGGGCGGGCGCAGTATCATGGCAACGTCGACTACGGTAGACACGATTATACTGGTAGCGATGCCGGTGGCGATGCTGACAGCGACGACGGGGCAGCCAGTGACGGCGCCGATGCTGAGCAGGCCGACGACGATGACGGCGTCTTCGCGACGGCGATGAAGGTTTTGTAAGAATTGCGAAATGCGCGCGCGGCAGACGCGCGATAGTGGCTCGCATTGTATTATTTGACACCGATCGCGCCACCCCAGCACGCGCGCGTGGGCGCTCGAACGGTTTCGACATGCGCGCGCGAAGGCCGCGATGTAGCATGTTATGGGAATGTTGATACTAAAACACGATTTCCGGAAGAATTCGAAATTCGCGGGCGCGCGCGTTTGTTGAAACTCCGCGTTGCGAAACCACGCTGTGTTTCGTTGTTGAAGCAATGATCCCGGCGACGGACCCAACCATATGCAGGCGTGGGCCCCGCAGGTCAGCTGGGGCGAAAAAAGTGGAGCTCCTTGCGGGGCCTTCGGTGGAGCTCCTTGTGGGGCCACGAACCGTGTGCGGGGTGTGCCAAAATGGGTGGCGGTCCCCGCGTGCGGCCTGTGCCGCTCGGGCCTTCGGCGAGGTTCCCTGTGGGGCCGCGAGCCATGTGAGGGGTGTGCCAAAATGGGCGGCGGTCCCCGCGCGCGGTCTGCGCCGCTGGGGCCTTCGGCGGGGTCCCCTGTGGGGCCGCGAACCGCGCGGTGGGCGTGCCGAAATGGGCGGCGGCCCCCGCGCGCGGCTCGGTGGAGCCCCTTGTGGGGCCACGAACCGTGCGAGGCGTGTGCCAACATGGGCGGCGGCCCCCGCATGCGGCCGCGCCAAAACAACACTCCCGGCACATCACCAGCACCTCGCGGAGGAGGAGGAGGAGGAGGAGGAAGGGCGGGGGAGTGAGCGGGGGGAGGCGGCGCGGGGCGCTGTCTCTTCAAAACAAGGACCCAACGCCACAGGATGGTTAGAAATAAAATGTTGGTCACTCGATTTAGGAATCCTTCCAAAACCAGGGGTTCTCCAAGGATTCTGGCGCGCGCGCGACGATGCGCGCGCGCACTTAGCCCCATTTGTTGCGAGGGGTTCTCGCGGCGGCCAGTTCGCGAGGACGTTCGCGCGATTCCGACGCGCGCGCGAAGGTCGTTTGGCTGCATTTTTTGAACAGATCGAATTCCCCGTTGTTTTTTCAAGGATTCGCAATAGCGCGCTTTCGCTTTTTTTGAACATCCGCGTTGCGAAACCTTCTCTTGTTTTGCAAAAAAAGAATGAGAATGTTGTTCGGACACTCGGTTTTGAAATCATTCCGGAACCGGAGGTTTTTAAAATGAATTGTGGCATGCGCGCGCGACAACGCGCGCGTTCGCATTTCGCCTTCATATGTTGCAAGATTCTTGGCAACTCATGATATTGATAACGAAGGCGCGGGCGTGGCAGTTTCTTGCAGGGGATGGCGGGGGGGTCGATTCCGGCTGGCATGGGATAGCATGAATTCATAGAGAAAGCAATCATATATGAAATCCTAGTCGAAACGCGTGGGGGGTAACCCCGGGGGGTGATGGGGGTAGAGCATAAGTTTTTTTTTTCTCTCAGAGAGGTGGTTCGACGTGGTGCACTATATGTAGTGCGATATACGCTTTTTCAATATATGTGGCGCAATCTCTGTGGGGCAATCGGCGTGGTGCGTTTTTTGTCGTGTGATCTACGTTGCGTAATCTATGGGGTGCCATTGCCCA